CAGTGGTCTCTTGAAAAAAGCACCTTTGGGACAACCATAACCTGGAGGGCAGAGAATCTCCATAGACATTTAGCATTCCAGGGGTTGATGCTTCTTCGATTGAGGGAGGGGGGAAGGGTCCCCCTGAATTTTCTCAGCTATTTCAGATCCAGGCCCCACCCTCCACTTGTCTTGGAGGCCTAATCACACAATAGCATGGAGCTTGAAAACGTGGCTTAGTCCACGCCATCCCTTCTCCCCGTGTACGTGGCTCAATCAAGTTGAAGGGCCCCCACCCCAAGGCTTGACCCATCTCTAGGCGAGCGGCTGGGCTGAGACCGATCCAGGAACGGCGGGTGAAGGGGGGGCCCCCACCCAGGGGCCAGGAAATAATTGGAAGGCCCTTGCATTTGAGCAGGGATGGTGCCTCCGGCTGGGCTCGGCTCACCTTCCCCCTTTGACGGTTGCTGACAGATGCCAGCAAGGCAGAACGGGTAAAAAAAAGTTGTGGCTGGGATTGACCGTGGGCTCTCCCCAACTGGGGCATGCCTGTTGCCCCAGCCACATTGTGGGTTTTTTGTCTCAGGAAAATCCCCTCCTTCCTTCGAAACCAGAAAATACCTCAACAGGCAGCGGCGCGATCCGAACGGGTCTCCCTGTCCTCGGTCAGTTCCTCGGGTGGCAGGAAAAGCTCATTTTCCTTTCATCGCATTTTTATTTTCCCTCCTTTTTTGTTTTTTTGTTTTCTTTTCTTTTTTCCCCCTTGCAAAGAGCTGTCCACACCACGAGAACCAGGCGTTACCTTTTTGGCCAGCTGGCAGGTCTTGTGGGGAGCGGCCGAAAACCCAGGCATCAGGAAACTGAGCCCAAACTTTGGGCTCGAGATGGGAATTTGGACCCACCTCCCCCCCCCCCCACTTCTACCTCAAGGTTTTGGCCCTTCGTGGCCAAAACTTCCAGCCTCTGACCTCCACAAAAGGGAATCATCCACATTTGCAAACTCCCATTTGGCATCCTTAATATTACGCCCTTCTCCCCCACGAGCGGGAAACAAAGGGTCAAAAGGAGCGGATGCCCGAAGCCAGAAAGTAACGTTTGGTCTTTGCCGGTAACGCCGCTGTCGTCCCAGCCCAGAAGGGCTCGGAGGAGAGCTGTCAAACAGGGTAAACTGAATGTAAGGTGTTGAGGAACTCAGGTATTAGGTGAAGAAAAGTAGGAACGTAGTTTAGAGATAACGTAGAACGATTCTAGTTCCCCCATAGATCAGTTTGAAGGACGCCCTTCTTTTCTTGCGATTCTGTTTCTTTTTCTCGTGAAAGGGGTCTGCGCATGTACCTTCACTGGGCAGGGGAAAAGTGACGCCCATGGTAATGGGTGCTTTTTTTCAAAAAAACTTTTGAGGGGGGGGCTTGCTTGGCAGGAGGAGAGGATTCTGGGAGTTGATGTCCACCCGTCTGCAAACGGCGGGGGTTGAGAATGGTGACTTCCGGACATCTCCACGCTAAGGAACGTAAGCAATAACAAGCAAAGATCTCCCGGCCGTTTGCCCCACAAGAAAAGAAATCCCCCTGCCCTCTTTTTTTTTTCCCCCTCCCAGCTTTCGGCATTCCACTTCTCTCTTTTAAGTCCTTCAAACCAACTTTTCTCTTTTGTCGTCGTTTTATCGTCGCTGTTTTCTAAACTTGAACTGCACCCCCCCGCTTTTTTTAAAATAAAAACCTCCTTATTTTATTTCTAAAAGCAGAAATGCAGCCCTCCCCGTCAACCCTAACCCGCCTCTCCCTCCCTTTCTCGATCTGCTCCCCTTCCTTAAACCCCATCGGCACCCCTAAATCTGCGGAGAGATTGAAGACGGTTCCCGGATCAGGCTTTCAAGGCGGCAATCAAGGCGAGAGACGGAGGGAGGGGGGGAAAAGGGACTAGTAGACTGAGAAGTAGATGGGCTTTGTTGTTTTTTTAAAGAAAAAGATTATGGTATTGTAGATGACAATGCTTGCCGGAGGCTCCTTCGGCGTGCTGGCGGCCATCGGCGGAGGGGTTTTGGGTTCTCCAGGTGGGTCACTTGGGTGGTGCCCACCGAAACTCAGGGATGTGTATTTATATAGAACCCAGAGCCCCCCTGCTGCTGCCGCCCCCTCCCCCCCACCTCCCCAGGTCTCTTTCCTGGACTCTTGGCCACAGTTTCAGAGAGCCTTAAAGGAGTATTTATCAACTTTTAGCTGCATGGACTTCAAGTCCCAGAATTCCCCAGCCAGCACGCTGGCTAAAGAATTCTGGGACTTGAAGTTCATGCAGCTTACAGTTGCCAAAGGTTAAAAAAAACTGGCCTAGAGGTCAACTCCCTACCCCATCCCAGCCCGGGCAAGAAGCTGCTGGCTGACTGAATCACGACCTTTCCTGTGGGCACCCATGAACCTCCACTGAGCCGCCTTTGGGATAGGATGTCTTATTATAATTTTTTTTTATTAATTTTCCTTTCCTGTGTATGAAAAAATATATATGTCTTGTTCTAGTTGTTAACCTTATTGACTCGATTTCCATAACAAAACTACCTCTTGTGTGACATCCTGCTGAAGCATCTCCAAAGGGATTATATGGGGAAAGAAAGAAAAAGAAAGAAAGTAAAAGAAAG